CGCCTCCTAGGCCACCGCCGTGACCGATGTCGATCGGGTGGCCGACGGTGTAACCGAGGACCTCGTACTTGTCACCACCCCCGCCGCCGTGGTGAATGTGCTTGGTGATCGTGTGGGTGTGGTGGATCGTCTTGATCTTATAGGGCACGTGGATCACCACGTGGTCGCTGGAGAAGATAAGCGAAATTAGTTGATTCGATATTCAATTCGGATTTAGCTTGATTTAGCTACGATTTCGTGTAGAGATTTCCAAGAGATTAGTTGAACTTTCGATCGTAAGGTATAGTGGACATTTATTTTTTAGTGTATCTTGTGCAGTAGATATTTATGTAAGGATGCAACGAGATCAGTTGAATTTATGTTGATCGTTAAGTTGCGATTTCGTTGTCAGAGATTTCCTTGCGTGGAGACTAGTTGAACTAGTTTCGATTGTGAGATACAGTAGATATCTTGCATAGTAGATATTTATTTTGTAGTGTATCTTGTGTAGTAAATATTTATGTAAAGATGCAACGAGATTAGTTGAATTTATATTGATCATTAAGCTGCGATTTTATGCACAGAAATTTCCTTGCAACGAGAGATTAGTTGAGCTCGTTTCGATCGTTAGGTTATGGTTCTGTATGGAAACTTTTTCCAGGGTGCAACGGGACATTATTGGATCTATCTCGATCACCGAGATGTGATTTTGCATAAGAGACGTTTCCCAGCAAGTGCAACGACTTGGAAAGGTCTGGAGCGAGGTCGTTGAACGAGGAAAAATGGATAGCAGGACGATCGACAGACTCGTTTATCGTTGCTTTCGATAATAGCCGGCAGAAAATCATAGCACTCGCCGATAACGGCGACCAAGAGAGAAAGTACTTAAACGTTTCAACGGCGCCGCTCGCGCCGCCGGACACGGTTAGTTAGGTCCATTCTGTTTCGATCGGTAAGCGGGCAAATACAAACATAGTTCCGCATATACGCTTTCGATCTACTGTGTCCGATATATATATATACATATATACTTTTTTTTACACGATAAAAATAAAGAAAGGAAAACTTACTGTCCACCATGGTGACCGCCGGCATTGGCCACGCCGAGCAGCGAGGCTGCCACAAAGACGGCCTGTAAACAAAAGAATCGTTTGTTCAGCGAGATCGGTCTAGATGTTATCGCGGAACTTTCGAATTTCGAGTAGAGAGGCTCATTATCTCGAGATCTTCGAGTACTTTTTCCGTGAAACGAGTGAAAGAAACAAACAGTCAGACGAAATTAACAAGATTCCGCGAGTGGTTCGAAGGAATTCCTTAAAGGCACGTGAAATTTTCACGATTATTTATTACAGTCTCGCTAGAATTCAAGTATGCGTTGCTTTTCAAGATATCTCGTCGTTCCCTCTACGGAGCAATGGAATCTGGAATCTTCCTTTATAGAAACTCCAGCTCCACAGTCCGGTAAAATGCCTCTCAGTGAGATATTATGTTGCCGAGATCCCGGAGACGCGGACATTGTAGCGTTCTAGAATTCCCAATCGACCACTAGAAACAACACCGCGTATCCAAAGCTATACAACCGAAATCGCAATGATCCTCGAACCTCACTGTTACCTAAAAAACTCACAACTACAGCACATGTATCAAAGATTCACAATAATCATCGAACCAAGCCCAAATTTCGACGATTCGGAGAAAGCTGGCACGTCTCAACCAGCGTGCGTCTCGAACTCAAAATCGACCCCAACCTCAGAAATCAAAAGCTCCGATTCCTCGCAAAAGACACTCTCCAAGAAGTGTCGTCCTAAGTCCCCAACCCTAGAAACTCCATCGAAACTTCGAGACCGAAGGAACTAAGCACGAGAACGACCCGCTGTCCAAACGTTTCCCATCCGGGGGAACTGACCCGAACGATCATCGGCGGAAAATAATCCGGAAACCAAGGGACGACTTACCGCGAGCTTGATCATGTTGCGCGCTGTCGTACCTAAGGCCTCCTGAAAATCGTCTGTGCACGGTTTGCTCGTGGTGCGTGTCGCTAGCGGGAGGGAGGCGGCTACCGGTTCCACCTCGCGATCTAAGTTGGCGGTTTAAGCCGCGGTTTTGATCTGCTGCCCGGTGTGCACACGCTTGCCGCTTTTATACACGTACGTGATTCGAGATCGGATAAGAATGAAAGGGAATCTTTCGCGCCCATCGGTTCCCGTACCACGTGAAAGGATCCGGCTAATAGAGAAGACGTGGCAAAAACGGAGGACCAACAACCGCCCCTCCACGGTGTCCGGGCCGTGTATACCCTTCACCTCGATAGACACGCGCGCCGCAACTCGTCGTTCGCTTTTCTTCTTTTCCTCTTTTTCTT